TACACGCCGTAATTGCTCGACTTGAAAGCATACACAAAAACTACAGGCCAGCTCCGTTTAGACAGCTTGGGGCCTAAGGCACATCTATTGTGAGAAGGAAGAAGGAATGGAGAAAGCATTACCTGTGGAGTAAGAAATGCCCCGATCTAGCGACTGGTTCTGGTGGTGAAGGTGGTGCATCTCGTGCCCCATGGGTGATCCGCCGTCGCCGTCGCCACCGCAAGCCTGGTCTAAACCAGCAGCTGCTGCGATAGGGCTTCCGTCACCGACTCCCCCCTGATCATTCATCATCTGGAAACCACCACTGCCACCACCGCCATCGGTATTCTCAGGGTAACCCGGAGGACCCGCGTTGGCAAACTGTCCGCCAACGGCTTGGTCTGAATAGCCACTGTACTGCTGGTGAAAGAAAAACAAAGGCAGGGGCAGGGAATTATAGGAGCGGTATTGGAATAGGAGCCCAAAAAAGACAGGGGGAGATGTCGGTTACCAGGTAGATGATAAACGCGAGGGCGACCAGCAACGTCGAAAGGGCAGAAGTAGACTGTGCGCGATAGAAGAAGCTAAAACCCCACTAGAGAAACTGCCCAAATAAGGGAGGTTGGCGTTTAGGGTAGGGTAGGGTCAGAGCCAGGATGAAGGTTACAGTGCAGAATTACATTACCGACAAAGACTAGGGAGACTGGCAATTTCTGGCTTATTAGCCGTCATCAGCCAGCCATACTCCACCCCAAGTGGTGCCCCATTCGCGGCTCGACCGAGTGAGTTCCATTAGTGATCAATGAGCAGTAGTCAACGAGTGTCAATATTTCTTATCTAAACAAAGCGACGAGTCCCTGCTCAATAGTTAGGGCGTTCGACTTCTGATCACGAGACCGCGAGTTGGAGTCTCCGGTGGTGCACCACTTGCGGTTAGGTATGACTGGCTGATGAGGGGCTAATGAGCTAGAGACGGCCACTCCTGTTTCCCTTTTCTTTACCGGCAGTACTATCTGCCTAAGCTATTAGCCGCGGTGCGGCTGCTGGCCAGGCTCGGCAAGGAGCCCCAAGGCCAAGCAAGACAAGTGAGATCCTTTGGTGATCGGTGAACGTTCTTCAACGAA